AGAGAAAACAGTCCAACTTGGTCAAATAAAGCAGCCCAAAGTGCCACGTGTCGCCGATCCGTGAAAAATGACCAAAACGCCCCTAATCTAACGGTTCTAAAGAGATAGGCTTAAATAATTGAGGGGCAATTGGGTCTTTGGTGCCAATAATGCAGCTGATAACCACAGTTACTTATCCCAAAAATTTCCCAAAAATTCGGACCCGAAAACGGCCCAGGGGCAAAACCGTCATTTTTCCGGTCACGGGGCGAAATTCCAATTTTCGCACATACGTGTTCCATATGTGCGTGGCCAACATAATATGGTGTCGGATTCGCGAAATTCACTTTCTAAGCCCTCGAAAATCGACTGCGAAGTTTCGGGAATAAAATAATATTATTTTTCCAATTTTTGTCGAAATTCCAATTTTTGGCCAAAACCACTCTAAATGTGTATGGCCACCCCAAAATGACCTTGGCCGCGAAAAATAATCTCAAACGGCCTCCGAATCCAGCCTCGGTGCCCACAGGGGCAAAACCGTAATTTTTCACCCCCGGACCAAAATTTCACTTTTTGCTCGTACTAACTCCAAACGTGTGTGGCCAGCGTAATATGACGTCAGATTCCCAAAAATAGTCTCTTAAGCCTTCGAAAATCAACATCGAAATCCAGGCCCAATTTCGTGATCAAAACTCGCTCAATTTCCAATTTCAGGGTCTCTCACTAACGGGCGGTTGTTTAGGACATACGTGTATCGACCTAGGGTTATTCGAATTACGACGGTCCCGATCATTGAGAGAATGAGAAATTATCATTAGTTCCAAAGATCACGATCGTTCGGTTCAGGTTGAGGACTGGTTGGCCACGTGCACTTTCGGTCTTGCAGAATCACCTGCGATCCGATTGTACATCGTTGGCCTTGGCCAAACCAAATCCATCACCTTTCCTAAGATCGGCCCACGTTGGCCCAAAATATTCACTCATCGTATCTCGAGATCGGTGTCCCGTTCACTGTCGAGTCTCTGGTCCACGTACCGTTTCCTAGTTAGCCATACCCCATTGGTTAGTATCCCGAGAGTGATCAGCTCTGGGCGAGACTTACTAAAATGAAATGCGAAATATTGTCAATTTTATTGATCCCGGAATTACGTCGAAATTCGGGCTGTTACAACTTGGGCATCCAGCTTACATATAATTAGCAAAAAAGAAGAGCTTGTAGGGACGATAAATGCTAACATCTCCTCTGGACCAACTGGCTGGTTCGGTTTAGACGGTTTCCCGTTCGGTCGATTCCTTTTGCTCATTCCTAGGCCAAACTATGGTTGGTCTAGCCAATCCCTCGCCGCGATCTGGTCAAGAGCCACCACTACTGGGTGAGGGCCAGTGATCCTCACCCAGATCTAGGTGGAGGGCCGCGACCCTAGGCAAGGGTCACCTGCCATCGCGAGCCTCGCCAACACTTTCCAGCAACGGTGGGCGGCGGTGGCGAGGGCCAGAAGTCCTTGCCTTTCTTTTTCTTTTCTTTTTTGTATTTTTTAAGTACTTTTGTATTTTTTAATCTAATTTAATGAAGATTTTGGTTTGAAAAATTAGAATTTATGCCCAAACAGCGTTGTTTTAGCCTTATATTTCATATTTTAGTAAAGTAATGCCACGTAGGAGAGAGAAAATATTAAAAAAAGTCATGTCAGTATCTTTCATTAGTCTAAATAGACTAAATAGACAGAATTAATGGAATGACTCAATTGCACAAATTTGACAAATTTTTTTTGCCAACAAAAGAGATAATGGCAAACTTTCTCTGCTCATGAAGCTATTGAAACGTAAATTCGAAAAACTTGTGATAGAATATAAAATAATTTGCATGACGTTCTTTAAAAGCAAATTTAAATTTCTAATGTTTTTTGAAAAATAAATCCAGTTACTTGAAGAAAGAAAACTTAAAATCAAGAAGTTCGTATTTTGAAAAGACAAAGCTCTCACCACAAGTTAAAACATAAAGAGATAGTAGGAATCTATTTAACAAAGAACTGTATAATTGAGTGATATGTAAACAATCATTCAAGTTTTTTGGCAAAAAAAATAAGGGTTAATATCATGAAAAACCTCAAAATGGTACACCTGTGACAGATTTACCCCAAATTAATTTTTTGACCACTAGAACCCCAAATCGGTACACCTGTGACAAATTTACCCTCAATTAATGCTTTGATCACCAAAAACCGATACATTTGTGACAAATATACCATCCATAAAATTAGATTAATACCATGAAAAATCACAAATTGGTAAACCTATTGTGACATCCTGAAATCTGCCCATTTGGGATTTATGAAATGCTTGGTTTTATGAACGTACTTGTAGTTAGTTCTCGCTCGGAACTGATCATTCCTGGGATACTAACCATTAGGGAAAGGCTAATTAGAGATTTAAATTCGTGCGACTAAAGAAAATTCGATCGTGAATTGATTTTTGACCATAGAACCGTCGAGGTGACATTTTGAGCCAATGTAGGCCGATCTTAGGGTAGTTATGGGCCGATTCGTCACTGTCATACGAGTGGATCACGGATGATTCCGTGCGACCACGAAATGAATTGACGAATGGTCCAGAACCTATACCGAACGATCGTGCCCAACGGAACTAGCGATCGAACCTCGCGATTACATGACAACCGAAGTCGTCACAAACCGAATGAACTTGCACGTGACTCGAATTATTATCGGTCACGGGTCAAATATGCGAATTTCCCCAAAAGCCGCCCGTTAGTTTGAGAATCGCTCGAGTTTCATTAAATAAAATTCAATTATTAATTAGAGACCCAAATTTGGCATCGGAAAATTAGAAAGTCACGACGGGACGTTAGGACGACGTTGTGGTTGGAACATACAGCTTTGGATTTTCCCGAATCCTTCAGAAAAATTCAAATTCGGCAAGAAAATGGAAAAGTGACCATTTTACCCTTTGAGGTTTATAAAGGGCAAGTATTAAAGGGGAAGGGCATTTTGGTCATTTTGCCCTAATTTTTGAGTCGGACAATTTTGCCCTTGAAATTTTATGAAATTCCCAAATTGCCCTTGGATATTTTTGGAAAAGATTCGATCTCGACCGTCGATCTCAAGATAAGAACGAATCTCGGCCGTCGATTGGATTTGTGAGAGAAGGGCAAAATGGTAATTTGCCAAAAAGGGGCTCAATTATTGGATTTAAGTCCAATTTTCTCTCTCTCTCCTCATTCCTTTCCTCTCCCCCACGGCTCACTCTCTCTCCTCATTCCTTTCCTCTCCCCCACGGCTCACTCTCTCTCCTCTCCCCCTCCCTCACCGAGAGCTCTCTCTCTCCCCTTGGCCGCCGTTCACCGCGCCACCACCGTCCCCCTCACCCTCTCGGTTCTCTCTCACCTTTGTGTGGCCGTGATCCACGGCCAAGGAGGCCGTCGCTGCCGCAAGCCGTCCAGCCCACCCGCCGCCGTCGCCGAGCCGCCGCTCACCGTTGACCGCCGCCCGTTTTCCGCTCTAGCCGAGTTAGTCTAGAGTTCAGTAAGTCACGCCCTAAACTCTATTTAGGACTTCGGGTATCGACGGACAAATTTAAGATGGAATCGGATTTAATTAGACGCGATTTAGGCTAAATTAGGGGCTGTTTTGGGATTAATTTAGTGGATTGGTTTGAGGATTGATATTGATTGATTTTAGGCGGTGAAATGATGTTTCTGGGCTGAATTGATGTTGAATCGATTGCTGGAAATTGAGACTCGCTTTAGCGAGCGTATGGTCCGATTTGGAGGCAAATTGTGCCGGGTTGATGTGTTATAGTGTGGCTGGTTGTTGGGACTTGATATGGCTTGAAATGAATATGGAAATGTGGAATTTGTGCCTATGAACGTGGCTGTGTTTGTGGGTCCGTGAGTGGCCTTGTGTGTTTGTTGTACCGTGATTTGATGAATTTAAATATGCTTTGTTATGTGCACGCTCGGGCCGAATTGAATTGATTGTCAACTGACCGTGTTTGAGTGTCGATTGAGCATGAGAAATGCGTGGTTTGATGCGTGCACGGGCCAAGTGTGAATAGCCAATATGTTGAGCATGTGAAAGAGTGAGAAAGTGCGTGTAGTGCGATACGTGTGATAATGAAAATCCCTGAGGTGGTATCATTACACGAGGAATTGATCCGTCCTGAGGCGGTACGACTACGTGGGACGATGTCCGGTATTACCGGAGAACAGCCAACCTGAGGCGGTACCATTACGCGGGTTGTGTCGTAGGTGGTGGGTTTTGAGTCTGAGGCGGTACCACTACGCGGGCAAGATACATGGCCTGAGGCGGTACCATTACGCGGGCCTTGAAGTATTGTTATGAATTGGTCGCAGTGAACCTGAGGCGGTACTATTACGCGGGTCACTGGCGAGTTGAGAATGAGTTAGTCGCAGTGAACCTGAGGCGGTATCATTACGCGGGTCACTGGCGAGTTGTGTGGAAAGAATGTGATGAGGCCGAAACGAATGCATGAAATGTAATTAGAACGTGCATGTGATTGGAAATGGTGTTGTTGTGACTAACGTGCAGGTTGCACGTTGGAAAGGCCCAGGTAAGCATAATTGTGTGCCTGCTATGTGATAATTGAGTGTGGTTGTGGTTGTGATTGTCTGGAGGTACGTGATAGCCTAGGTGTGGTTTAGGGTGTGTGCTTACTGAGATGTATTCTTATGGTTATTTCAACCAACAATTTCATAACCCCGGCCTGAGCAATGAATCCCCCACCGTCGCCACTTGAGCGTTTTGGAGTCTGTGCACACCAAACACATCGTTGTAGAATACCCTATAGACGAAAACATGACCTGGGTTAAGCATACGACGGTAGTTTGGGTAGACGTAGGATTACCCCTCTGGCAAGCCAACACGTACACCACATGGTTCTTTCGAGACGGGGTAGATGAGTTTGGCCCCGTCCGTGGATTTGATGTCCCCTTTGATGGAGTTGGGGACTGGGATCCATCAGCCATACCTCCTCCGGACGGCGAGATGACGAGCCTGGAGACTAGCCTGGCACAGTTTGGACATCAACCTGCGCCTGCAACACCTGAGCCCTCGGGGGCCGAGCACAAATCAGAGCCGGAAGAATCTCAGGCAGAGTACGATCCGATGGACGTGGACCTCGAGGTAATACCAGAAGAAGAAGAAGAACCCGAGGCAAAACCTGAAGAGGCCCCAGAAGATGAGCATGAGGATGAGCCTGAAGAAGAACCGGTGCACGTACCCCCGTATGAGCAATGGATTGATGCCGAATTTGTGCCAGAGTACGAGTCTGATGAGGAGCCAGTCGAGGAGGAGCGGGACGAGGTTCCAGCTGAGTCGGGTGATATAGACCACCCGATCGAGATCAAGGCTGAGCCGGAGTCTTAAGAGGAGCAGACAGTCCACGGGGACTCAGACTCGAGCGCTGAAGAATCAGACTCGAAGTGGACGCCAAGTAGAGGACGTAGGGGGCTAGTGTAGGGGTTGGGATCAGGCTTTTTGAGATGTTCCATTTTTGGATGATAGGATACCCATGCTATCGATCATTTTGGATATCGGTGGTTTATAATTCGGTGTGCATATGTATATAGTGATTTGTAAATTGTGAATATTATGTAATTTGGATGAGCAATGACTATGTTTATTCTCCTTAATTACCCCGGTTGTTATCGTCCGGGTATTGGTGGCTTTCGCTGACGTTTTAAATCTCTAATAAGTTGAATTGGGTCGGCGATACCATGGGACGTCGCATGATTCGACCAAAGAAGTGTGTCGCGAGCTCGAAGGGGTTCGGAGCGTGACACCTATGATAAATCACAAAAAAAATTTCCAATAAAAATTTTACCACGAAAAATCACAAATTGATAAATCACAAGTTTTTCCAATCTCTTTTTCAATAGCTTTATGAGTAGAGAATTTGCTAGTATTTATGAAATATTTGTTTACTTCTTTTGTATAGATAGATTCCTACTATCTCTTTCCGTTTTAACTAAGGCTCCGTTCGTTTGGCGGAAAATATTCTCCTTTTGAAAAATATTTTCCCGGAAGTCATTTTCCTGAAAAATGTTTTCCTGGAACACAATTTTCTGGTGTTCGGCTAAAATCTGAAAAAGTTTCGAAAAATATTTTCTGGTCTGGCGGCGTCCGGCGACCGGCGGCAACGATCGGCAACCGGCGGCGAGCGGCGGTCGGCGGCGGCGATCGACAACCGTCGGCGGTCGGCAGTGACCGATGACCGACGGCCGGCGGCTGCCGACAACCGACGGTGACCGGCGATCAGCGACCGACGGTGACCGGCAATCAGCAACCGGCGGCGGTGACCGGCGGTAGTCGACGACCAACGGTGACCGGCGGCGGGTGGCGGCCGGCGACTGACGGCCGACGATTAACGGTGACCAGCGACCGACGATCGACGACCGGTGGCGGCGATCAGTGATGCTGATCGGCGACCGTCAATCGGCGGCGGCGACCGTCAAATGCCGGCGGCGGCGGCGACCAGCGAACGACGGCGATGGCCGACGATTAACTTCCTCTCCCAAAGTGAAGGCAAAATTGCCCATGGGAGGGAAAATGTTTTGCGTGGGAAGTTATTTTCAGCCGCCAAACGAACAGAGCCTAAATGTGAGAATTTGGCTTTGTACATGCAAAGGCATTCAAGAAATGATCAACAAGTGGCTATATCACCTCACATGCCCCCATCACTTGTAGATCAGTACTCTATAGGGTCGCCGTCCCAAATGGCATGCTTGACTTAGAGCATAATTTTTACAACAAAGTTGTGAACCAAGCATGCCTTAATGCCACTTGGAGGTAAGCTTTCATCATATCTGTACTTGAAAGGAGACGTGGACAATCTCTTTAAGTAGATGTTGGGAAATATGCTATGGATTTATATTTGGCTTAATTTCACTCTTTGACTTATGTATTTGAGGAACTGTGGTTATTTTTTATGATGCATCTATAATAAGCATTGTGGCTATTGTTCATTATTATTGGATAACTTACATATCCTGTTGTGCTTATATTCTTTTTTTTTTTGTGATGGCACAAGTAATATGAAGGGGAACGAAAGTAGCGTGTATAATGGTCAGGTAGCATAAGTTGAATCAATTGAATGCATGGTTGTGCATTATTACAATGGATGTGTCCATGCACACGAGAGAACCCACTAGGAACGATGTATTGTCAGGACCTAAATGGGTAAAGGAGTATATGAAGCTTTTAGAATGGAGAGACATGTCTTTTTCAACTTTTGTGATTTGATGAAGGCAAGAGGCTAGTCGGAAGATAGTCGATTTATTAGGGTAGATGAACAAGTTGGGATCTTCTTATCTATGATTTATCACAAGAACTCTAATAGAGATTTATGCGAGAGATTCCAACGTTCGGGACAAATTATTAGCAAGTACTTCACTATAGTGTTGAAAGCAGTCCTCAAACTGGCAAAAGAGGTTATCGTACCACCTTCCTTTGATGTTATCCTAGAGAAGATTCTTATGGATCATAACCATAAACGTTATTTCAAGGTAAGATTTTCATACATTCCTTTACACCATCGATTTCATTTTGTTGATAAACTTGTATAATACTAATCTTTGATAAAATGACAGGATTATATAAACGCTATTGATGGCAACCATGTTCATGCTTTTGTATTTGTGTCAAAACAGATTCCATTTTAGTGGCAGGAAAGGAATTACCACTCAGAATGTGATGTGTTTGTTTGTTTAATATGAAATTTACTTTTGTGTATGCCGGTTAGGAAGAATCTGCCAACAATTATCAAGTGCTCTTAGCAGCACTCGAGATTCCTCACTTAGAATTTCCTTGATCACCACCTTGTATTTGCCTATTCTATAAGAAGTAATTTTCTTTATGATTGTATTGCCATTGCGTATCATGACCAATTTATGAATACCTTGTTATAGGCAAATACTACGTGGTAGATTTTGATTATGCAGCAACTCAGGGATTTTTAACTCTTTTTTAAAGTGAACGTAATCATCTAAATGAATATAGTGGTTGAGCGAAACGACCAAGAACAGCAAGAGAATTGTTCTTCAAGGAATTCTTCAAGGAATGTCATTGAGAGATCATTTGCGGCATTAAAGAATCGTTTCTTCATTTTGACACACATGTCTTCATTTACAATTCAAAAGCAAGCACATATTGTAATTACATGTTATGCTATCCATAATTGCATTCATGATCAAGACATGAGGGATAAGAACTTTTTCCTATATGGAGATCTAGAGTACTCATTTGGATCTAAACAAAATGAGGTGACAAACGATACATTGACCGAGGAGAGAACCGAGATGGACATGCTTAAGAAAAGTATTGCCAATAAAATGGCAAGAGATCATAACATGCTGGAGATTCCATGAAATTTTGTTTTCAATTTTTGTAATGTATTTCTATTATTTTAACAAAATTAAATTTAATATTAAACAAACAAACACACATCATATTCCGAATAGTAATTCCATTTCTGCCACTAAAATGAAATCTGCTTTGACACAGGTACAAAAGCATGAACAAGGGTGCCATCAATAACGCCTAAACCCTGTCATTTTATCAATGACTAGTGTTATATAATTTCATCAACAAAATGAAATCAATAGTGTAAAGAAATGTATGAAAATCCTACCTTGAAGTAACGTTTATGGTTAGGATCCATAAAAATCTCCTCTAGGATAACACCAAATGAAGGTGGTAAGATAACCTCTTTTGCTAGTTTGAGGACTGCTTTCAACACTATAGTGAAGTATTTGCTAATAATTTGTCCCGAACGTTAGAATCTCTCGCATAAATCTCTATTAGAGTTCTTGTGACAAATCATAGATAAGAATATCCCAACTTGTTCATCTACCCTAATATATCGATTATCTTCCAACCAGCCTCTTGCCTTCATCAAATCACAAAAGTTGAAATAAACATGTCTCTCCATTCTAAAAGCTTAATATACTCCATTACCCATTCAGGTCCCGACAATACACCGTTCCTAATGGGTTCACTCGCGTGCATGGACCCATTCAGGTCCCGACAATACACCGTTCCTAATGGGTTCACTCGCGTGCATGGACACATCCACTGTAATAATGCACAACCATGCTATTAGTAAGTTAATATCAAAATCATCAAAGTCCTATTCAACTGATTCAACTTATGCTACCTGACCATTATACACGCTACTTTCATCCCCCTCCATATTACATGTGCCATCACACGAAAAAAGAACATAAGCACAACAGATATATAAGGAATCCAATAACAATGAACAATAGCCACAATGTTTATTATAGATGCATCATAAAAAAAATAACCAGAATTCCCCAAATACATAAATCATAGAGTGAAATTAAGCCAAATATAAATCCATAGCATATTTCCCAACATCTACTTAAAAAAGATTCAAGAAGTCCGCGTCTCCTTTCAAGCACAAATATGATGAAAGCCTACCTCCAGGTGGCATTAAGGCATGCTTGGTTCACAACTTTGTTATAAAAATTATGCTCCAAGTCAAGCATGCCATTTAAGACGACAACCCTATGGAGTACTAATCTACAAGTGATGGGGCATGTGAGGTGATAGAGCCACTTGTTGATCATTTCTTGAATGTATTTGCATGTACAAAGCCAAATTCTCACATTTAGTTAAAACGGAAAGAGATAGTAGGAATCTATTTAACAAAGAATTGTGAAACGGAGTGATATGTATACAAAAGAAGTAAACAAATATTTCATGTTTGTCAGCAAAAACATAAATACTAGCAAATTCTCTCCTCATAAAGCAATTGAAAAAGAGATTGCAAAAACTTGTGATAGAATCAAAAATAATTTTATTGAAAAAACTCTAGAGCCAACATTCTTTGGAAGCAAATTTAAACTCCCAAAGTTGTTTGAAAAATGGTAGGTCTTGTCACGCCCCGAACCCCAACGGGCTCGCGACACCCCTTCCACGGTCGTATTGAACGCGACGTCCCAGGACACGTCGCCGACCCAAACGAACTACGCAAGCGGAAGCGAAATAAAACAACCCAGACAGTAAAATATGACGAAGGGATAGCACAAAACAATAATTCCAAATACACAACATTAAAACGGAGTAGTGGTTGGATATCCTACTTCGCTATACAAAAGAGGGGCACACAAAAATATGGGGCAACTTGACCCGTCCTTAATCTTCGAGATACCCTTGCAGCGTCTCCAGTCACTCATGGTCGCGGATCTGAAATGGTTATATAATAACCGTGAGAACGAGTCTCAATAAGCAACCCCCTATACCCCACGTAGGCCAATGCGTACCCAGACAAGTCGTACATGCAATCTACCCCATAATATATAAAATTCGCATCATTGTACTTGCCTCGTCATCAAGCCCATGCC